TGTGGCGGCTTTATAGAAATATACTGTTTCATGGGCAAAAAATTGTTGTTTTATGTTAAAACTTTCTTAGTGCTGCATAATTGTTCCTAATCGGCTTTTATTGAGAAAATTATCTAAGTATCCTGCAGTGTAGTTTTAAACCGTTTCAGACAGCTTTTTATAGTTTTATATTTCTCTTCAGTTGAGTAATATTTCCTAATCCACTTACTAAAAGCTCGTTGTTAAAATCTTTAATGTCTGATGGTTTTACTGTTCAGTTTGTTTACTTACACGCGTATGAAGACTCATAAACACCGGATAGCTCAGTTAATGACATTTTTGTGGAAAAGCTAACAGAACCGAAATTTTGTTCATTTATTTCCGGCAAGGATTTATATTAATTTAGTTTAATTATTTTCGTATTCACCCACTAGGGGCGTAATACGTAATTTGAATATTAAAACAGATTAATTACATATCAATATTGATCCTGTGTTTCCCGTTGTCCAAACACCAGTTCTGTTGAATTTTTCCGTCCTTTATAAATCGATCGAATCTTGATCAAACTTTTATGAATCCTGTGGGAGTTCTTCTACCTAAACTTTCTATTTGGGAATAATCCGCTAGGGTCAGCATTTAGTGACTCTAAAACCATTCTGTCCAGTCACCAGCGGTGTGCTTCGAGGAACTTTACTACATACAGTACGAGTGTAGAATATAATTAATTTGACAAAAAATCGGATTAGTTCTTGTTTAACAACATAAGTGGCAAGTTTTGTCGTAACGGCTGACCAAACAGCGTTTTCTCTCTAACTAATAACGATGATATCGGAATAAATGGACTCTTTGTGTTCAATCTCCACGTGTGTAAGTCAGTGTCGCCTGTCGGGAAGTTTATTCCTCATTATGTAACCTTCTTGTACATATAACGTTGCTATTAATTTTAACGTAATGGGTGGGCGTTTTATCTCTTCTACTTGAACTGAAAGCTGGTTACTGTCAGAAAAATTACTCTTCACCACTTAGCAACGAAGGACCAGTTTCTGTTTCATTGTTGTGGTGTAGCTTGAAAAAGTTTTGTTTCAGTAGCATAGAATTTAATTTAATTACGCCAGAACACCTACATATGTATTTTTGGTTGTAGGAATGCCACATGGGGCTACTAGATATTACGACTTATCACCAGTGGGGGAAAGTTTGTCATGCTGGCCGGTCGTAATTGCTGTTTGGATTATGTCACATAAAGTTAATCTTAACGGAGCAAAAACTTCTGCTTTGATGTAATTTGAGAGAGATGTGTTTGATAAAAAAGCTAGGATTTTTTCACACTTATCCCGACATTAACGCTACCTCGTTTAACAAATGATATGCAATTTAAATTTGAAATTTTAACGTGTTTTAAGTGAAGTGCAGTGGGACTTCTTGCTTTACTATCGATATGAATTATTTATAAATTACTGAGTTTTCATAGAAATGCTCGTCATCTAGACTTACAAAAAAAATATATTGTTACAAGATATTCAAAAAAGCATATATTTTTAAAGTATAATATAATCCAAACCAAAAAGCGGAGAAGGACGTTTTTAAATAACAGAAACACTGTTAAGGTACATAAGGTAATCATAAAATAACAGAAAAGAAGGAGGAGAAAAAAATGATAAAGTGGATTAAAAAGAAATAAAACTAATAGCAGAAATAGGGATTCCTCAATTAGGAAACAAAACTGTTGGAAGGTAATACGAAATTCTAACAAATTTGTTGGTTTTCTATCTATAAAAATATATAAAAAACAAGCTCTATTGGCTTAATTTAGTTGCAAAAGTCATGTTAAAAGAATGAAAAGGAATTTTATAGATGAGCAAAAATTACAAAGCGCGTAAAGTGATTTTATAAATTTTGTGTATTTTTGATTAAATTTTATAAATCTAGTCTTTATTTCGGCATAATTCTCTTTTAAAAAATTTCAGCCAGATTTTTTACGTTACGGAGCAAATCTTAAAAGCCTCTTAGAATTCTTAATCTTTATAAAATATTAGCGTTCAAGGAGAGCAAAAGATTTGATAAATAATAGATGAAAAATAAATAAGCACCACGTGTATTATTAAATAGGCGGGGAGCTTTCAGTTAGTAATACGTGAAGGGTAAAAAGCCTGATGAAATTCTTCTGTAATAATAAAAACAGAAATGCAACTTTTCCATTCTATTGAACGGAACGGTTAAAATAGCACATTATACGCTAAAGCGTCCAGATTATCAACGCACTCGGTACTAACAATTCAGCACATGTTTCATTAATTTTTTCACATTCGTACTGATCCTGACACGGATTTCCATTCTATTGGAACAGCGTTAATTGTAACTACAGTTAGTTGTCCGGGGGGCAGTTCGAAATAATTGATTCATCGCAGTTGGATGGTTTAGGGCGAAATAGAAGCTTGAATTTTTGCATTGGGGCAAAATTTAGTTTTTAGAAGGTGGATTACCGAAATAAAAAATTGTCCTGGAATTAATTTGCCAGTATTACTCATCGTTTCAAACCCACCCTAGCACAGCTGTTTGTGCTTGGTAAACATCGATAATGATCAGGGGATATAGAGTAACTACTCGGAGCGTGCTTAAAAACAAGCAATGTTTATTTTAAGGAGGTGTCGTCTTAAGTTAAGCTCAACACTACTAATTTTACGGTCTATTTTTTGTCAGTGGTGCTGTCAACAAACCCACTTAAAATTTCAAATCTTGCCGATACGGCGATTTTTCAAGAAGCGGTGTTAAGGATCTTTGTCTGGAGATAAGTCAAGCGTGAATAGAGGCACCTATTATATTCATTGGGAAAATTAATAGTTTTAATTGCCCGTTTAAGAGCGACTTGAGCGGTGAAAGTTGGATAAGGCGCCTCGAAGCTCTGCGGTTTTGTCGTTGAATTAGCTGCGAATAAGCGCATAGACAAACCGAGAAATTAAATCGCATCTGGTCCACCGACTTTAAACTTAGTTACATACAAACCCACCAAATATCCCGGGTTTGGCTGGCTTTGCGAGCCGGCTTTAAGCCGACACGAGCCCGGGAACAATTCAGGAGCTGATCGGGAAGAAGGATGCAGACGAATAAGGCCCTATGTGAAATGTCTATATTAAAAACGTGGCTTATAATGTATTTTGCCCTTTTTATAACATCTTTCTCGTGTGTGACTACACTTCTAATCTCTTGTGATCGATTTGTGGAGTTTCCTTTTTCTTATTGTAAATTAACATTTAAAGAATACTACATTGTTCGGGGAGATAATAAAACTTCTGGAAGAGTTTGGAATATTTTGATCTCGAGGGAGTGTGGAAGACTCGCTTGCTTTGGATTTCAAAGCAAAAATTCATACAATTTTCATCACAACATAGCTGTTATTGGAAAGAGGTATTAAAAAGAGGTAAAATAGAAAATACCGGTGATACTTGAGCTCTTCGATTATCCTGAAATCAATTTTTTTCTTATACCTATGGCTTCAGAATGGTGAAAACCGAGACATGAGATTTGCACTGATGAGCAATGTGGCGCTTTTCAAGAGGAAAATGCATGACCGGAATATGAATTTTTCGCTTTAAGGGAAATAATTCGAGAACTCCTTCGCGAACATGACACAAAGTAAACAGAGCATTTGTGGGAAACCATGAGGCACCTGTCTTTGCAACCACCTGCGTCTCCATTAAATTACCCTCGTTCTTTGGTCAATAAAAGTATAGTCTTGTACTGAACTAAAATAAATCTACACTCTTTCTCCCCAAAAATCTATTATTTATTATAGTTTTACATATATTTTAATTAAAAGAGAGTATGAATCCTAAATTTCAGTAAATTTATACATTTCTTTCTTTAACATTAGGTTGAAACTTTTATTAAGTTGAAGGCAATTATCAAATACAGCTTTTTGTGCAACACCAAAGCTGGCGATATTTCCCATATTCCCTCTAAGGCTCTATGGATGAGCTTCGTAATCTTTTAGGTAATGACATCGGGAAGAGCTGCCACGTCACTTTCCGCAATTAGTGCTCGAGTTGTATATGTTGCGTTTGCAAACTTTGTACGATTAAAGTCTGCGGCGTAATATAAACGAAGCCGAAGCGCTTTTTGTGGATTTATCGGAAAGAAAGTTTTTATTCGTATTAAATTAGCGAGGCATTAAAGTGGCCCGAGGTGCTGTAAGTGACGATTTCGGAACTGTGCTTCGGCGTTGAAAAGCCCGGGGAATTTCCTTCGAGATTAGCTCAAGGAAACTTATCGATCTAATCCACTAATCACCTTATTAAAGTTTAATTTGTACACCCCCTTCGGGCCCAATCGGGCACCTTTATCAAGCGGGGCGAGTTAAATTGAATTAAATCCACCCATATCATGTTCATTGGATAATGGTAATATCGTTAACATGATTGTTTGCTTTTCAAAATCTCGTGTAAAACACCGGTGCTCTCCGATATTCGGTTGTTGATTTACACAAAAAATGCAATTTTTATACATATTTGAACAGAAAAGAGACCAGTTGGTGTTAATAATACACTATTTTTTGCCAGCTTTTTGTCGTTTTTCCAAACCGATTCGCTTTGTCTCTCTAATTGTGACAATTTTGTTGCTCCGTTAGTCTGAACGTTTTGGACAGATTTATATTAATGAAAGCTTTTTGAGAGCAACTTCTACAAGAGCAGTTTGCTCATATTTGGTGACAATATTCGGGAAATTTAATAACCCCGCACATCTTTTTTATTAGAAACTTGAGTTAGTGACCGGGGGAGTGCGTTCGAGGGCGCTTATGCGGTCCTGCAAACGATTTATCAGCAGGATGGACCGCCTACGCGACCCAATGTCAGAACCTGGACCTATTACTTTCCCATCCACTCGTGCACTAATTCCACTTTTGGTCGAAGAGTGTCAGAATTGATCACCGAGTCCCACTTCAAACGGACTTCAAGTGACGATAGAATAAACACAAATTTGGAACTCGAAGGGGATGACAAAGGGAGATGAAATAAATGTCACACTTATATTGACGTGCATCTATCGTTATTTTTATTATTACAGACATAATTTTGGTAATAAACGTCCCTCATCCGTACTTCCTTGCAGTTCCATGCAGCCGAATCCTTAAAAATCCAAAGTAAGAAAACTTAAAAAATCACACATAAGTACCTGTAAACACAAGTAAAATCTTTGTTCCCGTGATTGGTCATTATTTCGAATTCGACATATTTGTAGTAAGACGACACGTTGTTAACATTAAATGTTTGCACGGTCCCTCCTTCAGCTGTGTATCTGAATTCGCCTAAAAATAACTTTCCTCCGTTTGGCTTCTCCAGCCCCTAATCACCACAATTGAAAAAAAAAATTACACTAAAGAAAAAATTTACCCATAATTTGAAATCTTTGGGCGCTGAATCGATACTCCCACTTGGAGAAATCGTTGGTGGAATGTGTTCCAAGGTGACGGAATCAATCAGAACATAATCAATAAGTTGCAAAACGGCTTTTCCGGTTTGCCCCTTGAAGGCCCAGCATTGACCCGGAGCTGTTGTGGCTTGAATCATTGAGGATGGGCCATGATCACCCTCGCATAAGCTGAATCCAAAGAGAGATTTGGGATTTGAATAGGGGGCAGCATCGACACTTAAGATTTTCCCTCCACTTGATTCTAAGGCAAAGTCAGGACGACCAACGGGATCTTTGAGGAGTAATTTCAGAGTTTCGCTACATTTTTTGTCTAATTCTTTTGACAGTTTTGCGTGGGGATCTTCTCTTCTATTATTCCCTCCTTTCATGTTATTTATATCTTCCTAGGAACCTTGTCAGAAGTTTAGAAAAGAAGAAAGGATACGCACCTTAAGTTTACCGACTTCTTTTGTTATTATATACTGGGAGTATATTACAAAGAAAGTGCCTGCAATAAGTAGGATGTAGAAACATCCAAGAAAAAAGGAGCACAATGACGAGTTGTTTCTGCATCTCAGAGGAGGCGGTCCTGGTTCAAAACAGTAATCCATGGTATTGTCGGAGAGTGCAGTTAGAGCTTCATTAATTTTTCTTCCTCTGAAATTTTTCTCCTGTTTAGTTTTAAGACTGAAAACTACTACCTGAATTTATAAGGAGACGAGCGTCTATTTCTGTTTACTCTTTTCGTTTTACAAGTTTGTTGAACATTGGAACTTTTAGCTGTAATAGACAAATTGAAAGATTGCTGACATTTTATGACACTTACTTGAAAGACGAGTGTTGTATGGATGTCGGCGTGTTTGGCAACTATTATCGCTATCTGTTAAAAAGCAAATTACAAAAACAATCCGTTATGACTTTATTTTATGATCACCTGAATCTGACAGCTCGCTATTTTTGCTAACATATGTATAACTCATGTGAGGTTTCAAACATTTCCTCAAGACGTCAAACAACTAGATCTTGTTTACGAAATGAAACTTTTCAAGAACTATTTTTTATCTATGAAAATTTTTCATTAGTCTTAGAGACGTCAAAGACAACCTTCTGGAGGTAAGAAACTTTTCCCCGCAGAGTTCTGCAAACTTTCCAAAGAAGGATAATCGATGCAAAGCACTTACGGTAAACTGTTTAAACTTGTAGGTTATGAATTTTGCATCACTAACATAAAATCTACAATTCACGAGCACCCAACTGCGGTCAGGGTTAGCATCTACAACCGATTTTACATCACTTTAAATATCGCTTTGAAATGCTAAATTATTTCGGACAGGGGAAAATCTTCTGATATAAGACTGCTAAATTATTTCATATAAGAATTCTCTCGACCGCGATTGCTTCTAAAATATTTGCAATATTTCAATTTGTATCGAAAGCACACCACTAAAAGCTTTTTAAAAATTTCAATACACCGCCACCCGTGGGACAGTGTCAGGTCAGAGCTTTAGATCCAACCGATCAAATTTAATAAATTCGGTGTTTTCTTGAAAGTTGGATTTCTTGCTCATTTTGCAACACTTCCCGAAATTGATTTCTTAGCTCTTGAAATGGGTTTACGTACATCAAGCGGACTCTAAAATGAGAAGATGACTTTATATCCATTATACATTGTAGCGTTTGTTGCACTTTTATGGTTTCAACGCTTTGAAACTTCCAATATTGACATTGTGCAAATTCTTTTTGCATTTTTGGCCTAAAGAGACACTTTTAAGCAAAAATGTTTTTATTCTGACTTTTTGCTCCAAAAGTTATAAATAATTGTGGTAATAAAAAGGTTCTTTAGAGTAATGTTTTCCAGATGGAATTGGGGTCGGTATAATTTTCTCTTCCGATTGTGTCGGCTGAAAAGTGCGGCACGTTGGACTACAGAAATGCTTGGTTGGTTGCGTATAACGAGAGAACCATTTGCTTGCTAATGTTGTAATCACAATTTCTCCATCGTGCTGTAAGCGCTCATATTATACGAATTTCTAGCCATAATTAGTGGAGAAAATTAATACAGAAATAATGGGCAAAGAGAAAAACTCCTTTTGTACGTAAACAAAGAGTTTATGTTAATGAGAGCACTTTGACTTGTATCGCTGTTTACTTCAGTGTGGCATAAACCCCGTTTTTTTTATCAGAGACTTGAGCACAGCTCCGAATAGACATTAAACTCACGTTTTCTTAATGCGATAAAGACAATCGCTATTCAGCGTCCGCCTCTGAGCCTTCATCAAATTGTGGATTTCTCCGTGGTTTTGTTCTTGTTAAGTTTGTCAAAGAACACTGTTAATAATTGAGCTGAAAAGCTCGATTCAGTCACGTATTTTTGCCAAATTGTTGGATCATGAACGCAATCAGGAGATCTTTTTACAGTTTCACCGGACTATTCGGAACTTTTAAATTAATTGCGTCAATTTCGGCTCCGGATCGATTCGTTCTTTGCAGGAATGCAATTACAGCATAAAGATAACGGAATATAATGAGGCGCGAATAAATCAGAACGCTGGCCCCGATAAATAATCATGCAATATGAGTAGCAAGGATGAGGGCTTTTTCCCGCCATTGTTCCGGTCAGCAAAACAATTCTGTGATACTCGTTAAACGCGAGCTTTTTGTTAGCGACTAACATTGCCGCATTTAATCTTGCGACTCGACAAAGCTTTTATAATTAGACTGTGTTCTTTGATTGCCGGTTGAATTACAATGCGGCGAAACGCGGATTAATCTCATTTGATCGAATAAAAAATAAATAAACAAATTATCCGAAACAACGAGACGATTTGATGGTGAATTTGATTAAACAGCAACGTTCAAAATACAGTGACACTGCAAACAGATTTTTTATCCCCAACAGTTAGTTTTTATCTTCCGCAAACATTTATTTTGAAGCCTGGAATTAAATTGTGTAACCAAAAAGGTGAATATTGACTCACTCAAGTAACACAAAAAAAGACAAGCCGCATTTCAATCAATGAAATAATACATTTTATGACAAAAGTTGTGACAACCATTTTACATTTACTGTTTTCGTAAAACTGGTTTTTGTGTTTTGCAATAATTCATTTTATTTCGGGTTAGAAGTTCTGAATCTGAAACTATTTTCTAGTCACTACCCACAACATTCATCTTTTTCGTTTTTTTATTATCAAATGGAGCGAATATGGAGTCGCTTTTTATCATTTTAATACGAGCTTATTGGAAATGCATCATTACTAGCGAGCTTAATAAAAAACTTTTATTAGTATGTCATTTGTGTCAGAGATTGAATTCGCTGAAAAATATATAGAAAATTTTGGTTTATCCACTAGGGTAGGTAAACATCAAACATGGCACTTTGATCTACTAGTCTGTAAAAACACGCCGGAAACGACGATCAGAAAATCGGAAGTGCCAGCTGAAATAACTGAATTAATTGTAGGGACGTTGGGTGCTCGACTCATTTGACAATTTCGTAATTAATGCTAAATGTTTACTATGTCAATGTTTGTTTGTGATGATATGAAGTGAATAGCCAGTCGTATTGTACGCAATCGTTAATTTATAATTGTTTTATTATAACGAATCGGTCAGTGTGAATTATTTCTTCTCCACACAGGCTGTTAATTAGCTATTTTAGTGTTTAACTATGTACCTACGATAACCGTTAATGTAAATTTTGTCAAATTAAAATCTGCAATGCAATATCATTTCAAAACCCTCAATTTTGTCGATGCGTGAAATTTATTTATTTATCGTCTCTTCCGGTTGAATTCACGACACGAAAAACTAAACAAGTTCTCGAAGGATTTTGTAGTCCTAAATAAACATTGTCTTCTACACTGATTGTGCAGCGTTCCCTTTTCGTCAATTACTCGGGAACATCCAGACAATACCACAAGGCAGGCAAGACATGAAATTTCACTTGAAATTTGCACATCTAGTTACCACTTTCAGTGCACTCGTGAATGTTTGATGGGCTTTCAAAAAGCGATGAAATATTGATGTGATCGGGATGTAAGAGATCTCTTATTATTACCAAATCAACAACTAGATTTTATTACTTTTTGTTACCTGTTTTACATAACTGAAATTCAATATCCAGATAAAATCATACTAATTATTGCAGTTAATTATGATCAGGACGAAAATTAATAAATTCAAAAAGTTTTAAAACTTTTAACATTTTTAGGAAAGCAATTTCTTTTTATAACAGTAACAGTGTGCTGCTGTATGCGGCATGTACTGGCATATAAAACAATTAGCCCGGGTTGAATGCAACGTTTTATAAGTTACTGAATAATTGAATATTTGAACTTTGCAAATATTGCAGCCACTAATTGCGTTTTGGAGTCTCTACAGCAGTGTTTCTATCTAAAATTACTTATTTATACACTTCTGGTAGCAGAATAAAAAGTGTGAAACTTGAGTAACAAGGAGTTACTTATTCTACAACCAAGTTTGACGAGTTGAGACATGTTTTTCACAAAATAAAACTAATTACTTAAACACTCAGAAAGGATATTTGAGAGGAGTAGTTACTGAAGGAGTTGCTAAAGCAACAGCTGCTATTTGAACCAGCATTCAAAGTATTTTAATGACATGCGAATTAGTAAACTCCCAAAAGAGCCTAAATTGCTGTTTTCAATAAGAAATTATTGCAGCTTTCGTCATTAGCTCGGTTTAGGTTTATGACTTTGACAGTTTAATATTTTTGCAAAGTTTGCGTGAAATAGTTGGATGGCTTTTGTTTTGGTGTTAATTTTCAATTAGTGAATGTGTGGGTCGTTTTCCGTCTGGGTGATGAATAAACAGGAACAATAATTTGAGAACAGTTTGGTGTCGACTTACCCAAAGGATGTTTCAAAGAGACGCCGCCATCGAGATCCGGTCGCTTTTGAAGTTGGATCGCTTCAATTAGGTAGATTTTGTTGAACTTCGGCAAGTTGGTGTTGCATTTTATTAGTCTCATAAGACTATTGCGGTGAGTTGAATAGAGTAACAAAGACACGTGACCACACACCCAAACTTTCTCTATTTCTGGCCATCTCGAAATTTATTTCTTTGATGTCAACTTGCGGTCAATGGAACCCTAAACCTGCATCTTTTTCCCAATTCTGCGATATACGCATCCACAAAGCGAATATAAAACGTTCAGGCAACGTAATCCTGCCCAGGAAAGGGGAGATTAACCGAGGAGGGTGCGTAATTTACTTCTCTTTACGAGGACAGCCTCTTGCGACGAATCCAACTCAAATTCCGTTTGTTGCGGAAAACCAAAGGATAATTAAAGAATCGTTTCTTTGTACAAGAAAGAATTCGACATCAAAGTTTTCAGCGGTCAGCAACTGGACTGTGAGCTTTTTCAGCGACATAACAACGATAGAAAAGCCGAGTTTGACAAGGCCTCGAGAGCAAAAATACGATTGGTTTCACGCCCAATAAAATAAGGGAAGGCAAATGATCCGTTCGAAGCAGACGGGGATCGGTTCCAACACTTGACTGTTGAAAGAAAATATTGCCAGAAAAAATCCGAGCGCTTTTTGAATTGTCTAGATTCTAGTTGCTTGAATTGATTGAATTGGACTGGTTTAGAATTTCTCCTTTGTGAAACTCATTTTTCTACTAGTGGTTGATGACAAAAAAATCAGCAGGTGGTGAGAAAAATCGATTATATCACCAGTTGCGAAATAATATTAAGTACTCAACTGTTGGCTCCTTGCTTTGATCATCACAATTCGACTGTGGTTAAATGCAATATTTTCGTTTTGTAATCAATTTATTACTGAGTAATATGACGTGAGGCACAGATGGCGTTACCATTAATACGAGCCGTGGGAATCATCAATCTTGTGGAGCGTCATCCCGCGCGGTGGTCGGTTTAAGGTTTAGCAGAGAGATAGAAATATTTCACCCGTTCAGCTTATTTAAATACTCCTCCCTGAAAAAATTAAATTGGTCTAATCGGCACGTGTTTGAAAATTATTGGGGAGCGTGCGCGATATTTATCATCTGATATGAAAAACTGACAAATGACGCCGACCGTTGTTAATAGGATCAGTCAGTTGGGGTTGAAACAATTCACTTCCGCATTTACTAGCCCATTATTATTAATAGACTACAAAACTGGCTTAAACTTTCCGGGGTTAGGATAATAAACTTCCGGATTGCGCGTCTTGAAAAGGTTTGCTTTTATTGTGATCGTACGTGATAGTACTTGCCTCTCGAGTCCTTTCTCAAAGGAGGTCTATTTTTCGGGTAGAATATTTTCAAACCAACTGGAATCAACCCGGCTATAATCCTTATCGATGACTGCAGATCCGCTCTGTGGCGTTGGGTTGATACGACCAGCCACGAGGCACAAACTTCTTTCGCATTATCATAAGCTGGAATAACAGGATCCCGAAGGCAAGGACGCAATAATTCGCCTCATTGTTTGCCGATAAGTTAAGGAAAAACAACAATGAAGCTGTGGTTTTTGTAATTGACACGAGAAAGGAAGTTAAGATTGCAGCTGGATCGAAGAATGAACTCCAAATGCTTAGCGAAGTGGCATCCGAACCCCATGCAATTTCATGGACCGCTTACTCTGGCCGGATTTACACGTTATTGTTAAAGTTTTGGTTAGGGGTAAAGTCGAATTAAACTTACGTGGTGAACCACTCTAAAAAATAACACTCAACACCTGAACAAAGCCGGTTAAGGGCTAAAACATTGATGGCTTTGGAAATCACAACCTCTTCCCAGTAACAATAATACCAACGTTTCGTTGCTTTTAACGCTGTTATTAATTGTAGTGTATCAGAATTCTAAAAAATACTGACGAAATTTTGAAAGTACGAAGTGTCTCAACCTAAAATTAGCCACAGTTTCGTGAAAGCCGAATTATACAGAGAGAAGCTAATTAAAAGATCAGCCTTTTATGATGCTGATGAAGGAGTTTATGCTTTGTGTAATGAAAATTTATTTAATTATGTCAAATTTACGTTGAGATGAAAACATTTTTGTGCTATTCTGCGTCAGGAGGGTCTTTAACTTGCGTTAACTTTTTGATGAGCCGAGTCCTGAAATTGAAATTGTCTATTTCTGAGCGATTTCATTAAAATCTGTTAGTTTGAAGGCAACGCAATAAAGAAAAATGATGGGCATTGTTTGTTCCGGTGCCGACTCCATCGTTTATCTCTTCCGCTTTTGTAGATTCCGGTATTTGTCACCTCTAGAAGATATCTTTATTTGCAACACGCTGTGTTAACAGCGGTTGTCTCGTGTCAACTCCTTATCTGTATTCGCGAAAGTTTCTTCAGCTGGCGAGATTTGCGGAGAATTGTTACTTTGAAACACCTCGAAATAGTTTCAGAATGGGTGCGAATTATTGAACAGTTTAATGTAAACAGTTTGTAGCAGAGTGAAACTTTGTGTAATCTTTTCAATATTACATGTTAACAGGCTAATATAAAATACAACAACGAAGTTTGGTTAATTTGCCGCCGGAGGCATTTGGTGCTATGAATAATAAGTGATGGGCCTCCATGTATTTATTATTTATGCTTGATTAATATTTGCACTATTTTGGGGAGAGTTTCCCAAGAGAAATCGAATGCAGTTGCAGCATGAAATAATAATGATCTCATGTTAAGTTATTCATCCGTATCAAAAACTCTCAAAAGAATCATTTCTGTTTTCTCTTTCCAGATTGCCTCCACTTGCAACTTTATCGCGATTCAAAGGATCGCTACAAGCAAGGCCAGACCAAAGCCTCGCTTTCCCTCCAGCATTTCTTGGGTCTGGAAACTGGATTCACATTAGATAAAGAATCGAACACCGTAGCCATTCTCTGTCAGGACGTCGTAGTCGTCCTGGCTTTCGATAACAGGGAACGTTTGATGCAATGGCAAGTCAAGTTGAGCACACATTTAGGGGACGGCCCGCATTTTCTCGTTCTTGTATCATCAACTCCGGCAAAGTCACGATTACCTCCAGGTCCCGCAAGACTTCACGTCCAAGAACGAGGTTTTTGTTTGACTACTGGAGTCCCGCCGCGAGTTGCGGGCGAATGGCTGATTAGTAACTTAAGGAGGTATGGGGTGGTTGAGGGGAGGTTCTGTTTCGAGGGCGGCTCGAGATGTGGAAAAGGAGAAGGGTTACACGTGCTACTTACCGATCAGGGGGAGGAAATTACGTCCACGTTGAAAGTCGCAGCTGTTGGGCAACTGCATTCGTCCAGGAGGAGGCCTGTCTCGAGAAACATGTCAGGTATTTATTGATTGAATTTAAAAAATCATTTAGAGACTTTGTTTTATCTCAATTTATCACTAAAATTTGAAGAATCCAGAAAGAGATGTTCTTTTTGTTTCAGTTATGGATAGTCCGCGACGGCCTGCCTTGCGATCGGACGGTAGGGCCACAATGGAATTGAGTGATTCGTCGATTTTATCACGTGCTGATTCTCCTTACACCGATTTGGAGAGTAATTATGGTTGTGGTGATAGTATATCGAATGATGGTTGGGGGGTTCCCCCGATCGAGCGTTGTATGAGTTGTATCAGCAAGCTTGGGGCGTTATCAAGATCATCAACGGCGACGGTGACAATGGCTACGCCTTGTTGGGAACACACTTGTGACAGACATTCGATTAGTAGTGGTTCCGATAGTAGTGGTTGGAGTCAGGCGGTTACTAAACCACCAGCAAGGCCCCCGAAACCAAATGCTGGTCCTTTAACTTCTCCCAGTAAGAAACCTCCAGCGCCGGCACCATCCTGCTATGACAATTATGACATTCCCAAAATCCCATATCCTGTGGTAAGTAAGTGAAATCAAATTTGGCGGAATTATTTGTGTTTTTTTCCAGGAGTCAAAATTGGACGAGCATTACGACACGCCTCGCAAACTAAAAGAATGTTTATTCGACACAGTCCACAAACCCTGCGGTTGTATAATCCGCGTCCGCCAGCCCGAACCGGAAAGGCCATGCGTTTGTCAACGTCTCATGTCGTGCTGGTCTGGAGATGAAGACATAAACGCCCTTTATGCCACCGTTGACAGGAGTAAAAAATGTCAACGCAATCAACCCACAGCTGCCAACTACGCCAACATAACGCCCATGTCGGCCCCCACTGTTCCTACTTCTTCCAATTACGAAAACATGGAATTTGCTCAAACTCTCAAACTATACGAAAACAGCAAAGAAATCGTGGAAAAAGCGCGCGCTTTGTGCAGCAAATGTGGCCACGCTCAAGACGACTACCTCATGATGGAACCCTCCGCCAGCAAGCCGGCGCCGCATCCCGGCTACATCCCCATGTCCCCCGCTGTGAAGCAGCGTCTCGGCAAGGCTCTCTCCAACAGCAATCCTAATCTAGCGCCGGCCCTCGACCGCTCCAACAAGCCCTCGGGCTCGGCTATGCTCCACGCTAATGTTTACCAACGAAAACAACTCCTCGACTCGACTGATAATCTAGATTTGAAGCGACGACGATCAAACTCGGCTGATTCCAGCCGCTGCGAAGAGACTGAAACTTCTCCGTGTCATTGCGTCCAGTCCGTAGCTGTGAGAAGGTCCTTGTCCGTTCCGTGCAAATCGAATCGGGACTCGTCGAGTTCCAACGATTCCGGAGTCTTTGAGTTACCTCGCAAGGCGGCGCAATTATGCACCGTTTCCACTTTACCTCGACGTTCGAAATCTTCAGATCCGCTCCGGGATTTGAGCTTTCAATTTAATAAGGCTGAAGGAAAGTCCGCCAGTGCTGAAGCGGAGGTTCCGGTCTGTCCGTCGGGATCGACCAGTAGTGGTACTTCCGACATGTCTGATTACTTCGAAACGCTGTCCTTGTCCTCACACAGTTCCAACGAAGCGCCGCCACCAAGCTGCACCCTCAGACCCAGGTCGGGGAACGAGTATCTCAGTTTGCAAAGGCTCATCGCACCCGTTCCCGAAGAACGGCATAACTAGTCTATAAATAGGAAGCAATAAATATTAACAGTATCTAGTACAACATTATAATTATGATTAAACTATACATGTAATCATTTTCTGTATAAAATTATGACTTTATAATAAATTATTCATTGAACAATGAAACGGTTTTCGATTTTTCGCACGCTTGGAAAACAAAGCAAGACGTTTGTGGTAATAACATTGCAGCGTTACAAGTCTGGCGATCTCGTCAGTATTCAAGTGCCTTGCTGAACAAGCTTTTTGTGCCACAATGTTTCAATAGACTTTATTAAGCTGCAACAACACTTTGTTTTTAACACTTATTTTAAGATCTGGATTAATTCATCAATGAGCAACTTGACTTTTTCTGGTCCTTATATAATTAATAGATGCTTTGAGTTTTTTTGGATTTTAGAAAAGAGTTTTGCACAAATTATACAGAGTGTTAGAAAAAGATAATGAAATATTTAAGGAGGACCGAAATAAACAAAAAAGTCTTAATAAACATGGGTCCGCAAAGTAACGGTTTTGGAGACATCGAATGTGAAAATTTTTAGAATTTTTACTAGAAGCTTCTCCTTTTTGTTTGAACAGACTGCAAATAAATGTTTAAAAAAATTAATAATTTTTGATATCTTCGAAACCATTACTTTGTTTATTAAGACTTTTGTGTTTGTTTTGGTCCATACTATTACCTCCTGCAATATTTTACAATCTTTTGTTAACACCCTGTATGTAAGACAATTTAATTCTACCTGTAATTTATTATACAGTGCGACAAAAAGTCTGTCTATCAAGCAAATTTAAAACGTAAGTCTGTGGAAGATAAAATGTCATAATGACAAATGAGAAATGTCAAAATATTTTTTATGTAAATTATGACAGGAAACCGTGGTGAACGATTTTGATGAATAAACACCAACAAACTCTTATTTTAGTTTGTTTTGAGACGTTTTAGAGAATAATTCAATTTAATTAGCTCAATGTTTTAATTTTTATAAAATAATTTTTTGACATCTAGATAACATACGAACTGCCATGCAACATACGTCCTCAACTAGGACGCCTACTTGATAGAAAGACTTTTTGATCGCACTGTATAAAAATTTACCTTTCTCACTGTGCATTTTTTGGTAAACGAAGCAAAAAGCTTTTTAAAAGGACTTCAAATACTCTGTGACCAAAGCACAATCTAACTTTAACGAAAGGTATTGCAAACATACATTTTTATGTTTGTATTGTAGCTAATCAATTAAAACACTTTTTATCACAGTGATGCATTTATTGACTAAAAAATAAATAAATCAAAGGGAAACATATTCATCGTTAGTCAAATAGAATTATTTGTTGTAATTTTTGTGCGCGTGAATCAATTCAATTTTTTTGTTAATTACCTGCAAAACATTTTTATTAACTTTTTAAAATTGCTTTCCAATTTCCACCACGTCAGGTATATGAATCGAATGCAAAAGCATGCAGCTGGAAGTGTAATTAACTACTCCACTGTTTCATATTTTAAATTATTAATTAAAAATAAATAACATTTGTTCCCAATAAGCGAATGATAAATACAAAAATATTTAATACACATGCAGATTCTGTTTTATTGAAAACGTGGTGGCTAATTACTAGGTGTATAATCTAAATTTTTGTAGATTTTTTTTATTTATTTAAATAAGTATTGATTTTTCTATAATCTTATAGCATTCATTATCCTCATTGAGCATCTGGTACTTTACCACTCTTTTCACCTAGTTTTGATTTTAATTGCCTATAATTACCATTTCTGGGTTTTACTTGTTTTTTTGACCCAGAAATTATTGTCGACAAACAATAAGTTTCAAATAAAAATTAGTGTTAATTCGTATCGACACGTCAGCAATGAATTTACGCAGCTTTGTTCGCTTGTAAAACAAGCTTTTATTCGGTCACAGAAAAAAATAAACCGAAAAACAAGACTAACTGGTAAATAGTCAATTTGTTAATAAATGCATGGAAAACTCAAAAAAAAACCTTTTTATTTCTGATTAGATTCTGAAATTCAATAATAATGGTTTTGGTTTTTAAACTGCATGACGTAGATTTTACCTGGCGAACTCTACATCAAACAAAATGTTTGATGTTTGTGACTCGGCAGTAAAATACTAAAATAAGATTACTGCAGCAATAAATTTTCGTTATTCCTAAACTGCAGTTAAAGTCCTATTAAATTAGCGAAGCCACCAATGTTAAATTACTGTGAAGTCTGCGAGAAAAAATATGTTTCAAATTCAGTTTAAAACAGGAATTATGTCTGTTACAGAGTGTGTCCACTTTCCACATCACATCAAATAAAAAATAACAAAATTATTTTTAAACAAATAAATTAAACGAAGAAAGTTGTTGTCGTTATAATAAAATTAGGTAACCACCATTTGTGATGTCACCTCTTCCTTTTACAAAATACATTTAATTTTGAATGTTTTGCTGATTTTGTTCCAAAGGGGGAAGTGATCTAAAAACATGTCATTGATAGATATCGGATAGAGTAATCCTAGTGTTGTGTGTAAAATTAAAGCACTAAATCAAGCTTTAATGAAATATTAGTTATTTGTATGTGGTGTCGAAGATTGAAACTGCAAGTCATTTGGTTCCGCTCTCGAAATCGATTTCGTCGAAACAATGCAAGGCACGACTGGATTCTCTGAATGCTGGTCATACGCCCTCTTGTCTTCTCGCACTAAGTTTCGCTTTAAGAATTTTTGGTGGTCGTTTAACGAGGTAAAAAATAAAAATTTTAATAAGATCTCATTCGAATCGTGGGCGAGATGGGCTGTGCTAGATGTGTGATCGAATCGGTGTTAATGCGAGAGAATCGGGGAAAGGAAAGAAAAGCAGGAAGTGCGGTGGAGATTAAGATATACAGACTGCGCCATAAGTCACGGATTACATTTTCACCGCCGAATAATATTATAATTCGGCTCTTTGTTCCACGTTCTTTTATTGTATTTATTCAGCATTTCGGAAAACTTACTGTAACAAAAACATTTCATCACAGTTAAGGAAGCATTTTTTCTCCAAAAATTAAACTTAGGACTTGGAAAAATTAACACAAGACAATCTTGCTAAAATCTGCAAACCAGAAAAATGTTTGCTTTCAAAGGGCCGTTAATATGTTACAATACAACTTGGATACAAAATATTGTCTATAGACTGATGTAATTAGATTTACCGAATGATTGCTAATATTGGTTAAAAAATATTTTTTCAATATTTCTGTTATCATCTAACATCTAAGAAATGGTTAGGTAAATGAGCATCATCAACAGATACAAAATACTGCGGATTTTTATGTTTTAGCTAGATTTTATATTAAGCCTAATAGCTATGATATGTAATTATACAGACTGTTTTGGCTAAAACCCATATTAGAAGCATCAGGAGTTTGTAACAATTATATTTTTTTAAAATTTTATTATAGCCTTAGTGGCTTCGATCCTGATCTATGAAAATATTTTCAAGATGGCGGCACATTTGATTATACCGAAAGTAGGTTTCAATAGATAGAAAACTATGTTTTTTATTGCAATTTTAGATTACTTATGACTTTGAATGAGTTTTCTGATGAAAAAGTTGATGTCTTCCCTCTAAGTTTAACCTACGGAGACCTATGGTATACTTTAGTCTTTAGGTATCTGTAGTTTAATCATTTTCGAAATGTTTAGACTTTTTTGCAATTTTTGGATTTACACCTTCGTCTTCAAAAATCGATAACTTTATCATTTTTAATTATTTTGAAATCGTATTTGAGCATATGAAAGAAAAGTATTAGATCTTTCTTTTGGCGAATTCATAATCGCAAAAATAATTAACGAACCCTCAAAATGTATGGTTACGTTTGGGAAACTTCAAATACTCTTAACTCAATTTTTCTAAATGAAACGACCTAATTTATTTTGAAGGAGGATCTTTACTAACATTTTTTCAGAGATTTTTGAATAAAAAGGTTCAAATCTAAAAAAAATCGAAAAAGTAAAAATTTTGCAAAATGATTAAACTTAGGTGTAGGGAAGGCTGATGAAAAGTGTCTAAAAACCACATGAGTAATCCAAAGACGCAGTAAAATTTATATATATATCTTTAATCACACCACTGTACCACGATTTCAGAGAGAACAAAGCCAAAATCGTTTGACAAGTTAACAATGAATATGGTTTTCAAGAGGTGAAACACCTCCTTTTTTTTCTAAACATGTGAATTATTTCTTTGCTTAGTGTAAGCTTTAAGGAAGTAACGTGTGTAGAAAGTAAAGGCTCGTGATTTTTGACACACCCTGTATAACTTTCGATCGCCGTCTTGTGTCTCTGGTTTTGGCGTTGACCCGGCTCGAGATCATCGTTTCGCTTTCAATAATCACATCCTGTAAGTGTGTCACAGGGGAAAGTGCTTCTGGGCGTCGCGGCCAAGGTGACATGGGCATCGATGTGGGCCACTGCGCAATTAAAAAGTCACCGTGTGCGGGATCCTATGACATAATAACCGTAACAACAATCGGGAGGTCGGCGCGCCGCGCCGCTTCGCCCCAGTTTCCCAAGTGCAGCAGAAGTTTCCGCAAGCATCGGCGGCGATTTCGGTGGTGGGCGTGCAGGCCATAAAACCTCAGCCGTCGGCCCGGATTCCCATACGTGCGCGATGCTCCTTGCGGTGGCCGTCGTGCTTTGCGCTT